ACAAAGGAAAGGGCAGAGAAGTCTTGCCGTCATCAGACGGTAGAGAAACAACGTCGAGGTGGGCACAAAGCCACGACTCTAACCGACGCTCACGAAGTAGAGCAACGACGATCGTCCCTGAAGGGGGACAACGGCAAAAAAGACGAGCCCCAGACGATGGTCAGGGCTCGGAATACTCGAGCTCCAGTCGCAAGAGCTCGAGGGCTCACGCCATCGACCACGAGATGGCAGAGGCACTGAACAAGCAAGTGCAGGCTGCGCTGCACCGAAGCACACTCACGCGCCACAAGCACGATCAGCTAGCATCGCAGCTTGACAACGCTGCTTCCGCCTTAATGGCAATCGGCAAGGAACTCCACCAGGCGGAGGAGATCAGGCTGCAAGATGCAGTCATGCTGGAGGACGTCCAGAAAGCCCTCCGCCCATGTGGGGAACGCGACACAACTCATCCGAGCTCACGACAGTCCGCAGCCAACGAACGCAGTCACAATGTGGAAGACCCGCGCCGAAAGGAGCGGGACAAGCAGCAAATGCCACCACCAGCCGTCCCGGTCGAACAGGACGTAAGGTTCAGGAACGAACCTCAAGAGCAACCGGCTGCCCCAACGGACAGCCGTAAGACGATTCAACAGATCATTAGGGAACAGGTCGCCTCAGAGCCTGACTCTGAAACGACGACCGAGAGCTTGGAGCTCGAAGTCGCACACTGGCAGCATAAAGAAGCCGCAGCTGCATGCCGCCACATGCAGACACTCGAGCTACTAGCGAAGAACGCTGAAGAAACAGTGGCCCACAGCCACACCGCTCAGCTGCCCGATGAGTAGCTCACGCGAGCCGTACAGAACGCACGGCAGACGCGCGCAGCCTACAACAGCAGGCTGTGGATCTGCAACGCAGGACTGACCGGGGACACCAGGCACAAAACACCCCCCGGAACCAAGAGCACAAAATGCTCCCGATCCCGAGCCCGATCCGGGCCTGGGGCCCGTCAGGGCATACAACAGCCTGCCCCGCGTGGCGTCACAACCGCGCGAACAATCCATGGCCCCAACGGAAGGCCAGGGAATCCCTGACCAGGCCGACGTCGTACCAATGGAGCCGTACGATGGGATCACACGGATGATCCGCGTGGCGTTAGCAGACGCCGCGGACACAGACCCGGAGAAGTCTGTGCTAGCGAAAGCCGGTGTGAAATTGGCTCACCCCGAGCCATATGCCAGGGGATCTGACCTCAAAGAGTTTGAAATCTTCGTGGCAGCCACCATACGATGGCTAAAATGAATTGCCTCCTAGGGCCAACCAGCATAGACATGCAGGTCGGCTACGTGGGCACTCGCCTCACCGGCGAAGCCCAGGAGTGGTTCCTTCGAAACGTAGAACGCTTCAATCACCAGGTCAGCAGCTGGACGCTGGAAACTGTGATGCAAGGCCTTCAAAAAAGGTTCCTGCACACACTGACGTACCATCACGCATCGAATAAATTCGACGCGGTCATGCAGGGCATGAAAACCGTTCAGGAAATGCTGAACGAGCTCACGAAATACGCGGCATGTATGATACAGCCGCCAGACGATTACACGTTCCGGAGACGGTTCGTGTCGGCGCTGCATGAAACGCTGCGCAGCGAAGTCCTAAAAAAGGGCTATAATGCCGAGAGCAGCTCAATAGAGCAACTCTTCGAGACGGCCCGGATGATCGAGGAGGCATCCCGATACAACATGGGGATGCACCGTGCAGAAAGCGCAGCAGCAACGGCAAGCGCTGCCTGGCTCACAGGGAGAAGCCATTGACACAAACGGGCCTGACCAGGCCCAGCCTGTTCTCAAGAAGCGGAACAGGACAACGGCTACCGCCCCCATGCCCAGCACAGGCTGGACGCCCGCCTGAAGCTAAACAGCCTCAAGTGTCAGGGTCGTCCCCACGACCTGCCCCACCAATGAAAGTGTTGGGCCGGCCTAACGATTGGCCCAGCGGCAGCCAAAGCAGCACCACGTGCTTTGAATGTGGCCAACCTGGCCACAAGAAGGCGGAGTGCCCCCGGCTTAGGTCCGGTATAAGGACAGCAGCCGCGAGGCACGACGATGAGGCCGAGGATCCGGAGATGGATCTCGGTCAAAATTCTCTTCAACAGATTGATGAAGAGGGGGAGGGTGATCCCCAACCCAACGACACTCTGGACAACGGAGACGCGCCCGCTGAAGAGTGGGACCCCGAGCCGTCCCAATACTATGAATGGGACGAGGAGGTGGAAGACACCACCTACAGGTCCAGCGCGATCAGATTCGCGCCGGAGGATGAAACCGCCACGAAAGTCGCACGTCGGTCACGCCAGACAAGGCGGCCGAGCCGGTGTATCACCACCGAAGCAAACACAGGATGCGGCCAACGCGCCCGCGCAGTGAGAACCGTACCCTATTGGGGTACTGGGAAATAAACGGCATAAAAGCCCACTGCCTGCTAGATAGCAGCAGCGAAGGGGTACTGCTATCCCCCGAATTCACGCGAGCTACAGGGATGAAGACATTCTCCCTGGAGCAGCCAATCGCGCTGCAGCTAGCCTGCATAGGCAGCCATTCCACGATCAACCATGGAACGAACACGACCATCAAATTTGGTCATGAGACATACGACGAATATTTCGACGTAGCGAACGTAGCGAACGTCAAATATTACGATGCTATCTTAGGGACACCGTTCCTAAGGAGATTCGGCATAACCCTGGACTTCTCGAGCCCAGGGACGATCTGCAAGGGGAACGAAGTGATCCCCACGGGCAAGGTCTCGTTCGACGACGATGGATCGACGAACGAGGACAAGGGGCCATGGGTGAGCAGGATCACCCGGGCACCGAAGCCTAACCTGGCTCATTGAAGCCAGGAGGACGAGTCGCGGGACAACTCATCCTCAAACTCACCCTACAACCGTAGGGAGAGGCGCTCTCACCTAACAGTGAAAGCAATGGGGAAGAGGAAAGCGGTTCCATGTGCCGCAGGACCTAATAGACGCCCACACCTAATAGCTTCTAAGCCAACCACCACCATCATCCTCACGGATGATGACCTTCCTCGCCTCCGCGAGGAATGGATGGAACGAATCACTGACTTAGTCAGTGGAATTCCATTAGAACTCCTGCCACTACGGGAGATCAACCATGAGATCAACCTCATCGAGCCCAACAAGCACATGCGGTATCAACTACCAAAATGCCCCGAACACTTCCGAGAGGAACTGTCGGCTAAGATAGAACGATACACCACTGCAAAGTGGTGGATTCCGGCAGTCGCGCAGCAGGCCATGCCCATGCTATGTGTGCCGAAGAAGAACGGTACATTGCGAACCGTCTTCGATCTGCACCAGCAGAACGAGAACACGGTGAAGGACGTCACGCCCTTCCCGGATCAGGATATCATCTGCAGCGACATGGCTCGCTGTTGGTATCGAACAAAACTCGATATGTCAGAAGCATACGAGCAGATCCGGATCCATCCGGATCACGTAGCAAAGACTGCCTTTGCCACGATCCTTGGCACCTTCAGGAGCCAGGTGATACAGATGGGGGACTGTAACGCCCCATCAACATTCCAATGGCTGATGACAGCCATTTTCCGTGACTGCATAGGTCGCTTCATCCATGTATACATGGACGACATCTTCATATTCTTGCTCTCAATACAAGAGCATGAAGAGCACCTCTACATCATCTTTGACAGACTGAGGAAGAATCACCTTTTTCTGAGCAAGCAAAAGGTGGACCTCTATTCCATCCGAATGGAGTGTCTCGGCCATATCATCGATGGCCGAGGGGTACATGCCGATGAGGACAAGATGCAACGCATCCGCGAGTGGCGTAGGCCACGGACATTCAACGACGTCCAGCGTTTCCTCGGGCTGGTACACTATTGTCTGCACGAGCCACTCCCTTTTTACTTGTCCACCATTCCTTCGCTCGCAGCCACTGTCCACCGTCCACTGTCCACCTCGGCCGGCACCTTGATGCGTCAGCGTGCTGAAGTGCTGCGGGCGCCAAGCTAACTTCTAACATCCTGGGGCCGTACGACGTCACGGTGCGGCGAGCATCATGGTGGAGTGGGAGGGGCAGCGTAACTTGCAGTGTCCTGTGGGTGGTAGCGCGACCGAGGGTGCGGCACAGTCAGGCGACATTGGCCCACGAGGTGCGGGAACGCTGCTGTGCGTTTTGCAAGCAGCGGCCGCCTCTGCGTGCGTGTGTGCTCTGTTTACAACCTCGGTACATCCCCCGCCGGCGCGTTTGTCTGTACAGGACCTCGCGTGCGTTTGTGACATCGTGATGCATGTGGGATGCGCAGTAGTGCGGTCGCAGGGTCTGTAGAGACGTCGGCACTGGATCTGGATGGTGCATCGTGTGTCACGCGCTCACTGACGCCGGGATCGCAGGGTCTGTAGAGACGTCGGCACTGGATCTGGATGGTGCATCGTGTGTCACGCGCTCACTGACGCCAGGATCGTTGATCAGGCGGAGCAGGAGGGGCACAGCTGAGGCCGGTGACAGCGTGCGTGCGCGTGGATGGGCGAGGACTGTGGAGAGGGCACATGGGGCTGCGACCTGTGTGGACACTTGCATGTGTGAGCGAGCGCGCGGTGGCGCATCCGTCAGTACTGAACCTCATGCGCGTTCGTGACATCGCGACGTGTGCAACGTGGGTGGTAGCGCAGCATCAGGGGGCTGGGCTCCTGCTGGTGGTGCTGTAAGGCCACTAGAGCTTGTAGTAACCTGAGGTGGGGCAGGTCGGTGTGGTGCTGCGCGACCTGCAATGTCCCTGGCTAATCAGTGTAAAGATAGATGAACTATATGATGATATCTCAGTATTTACCTGTTTGCAAAGTACTGAGGGAAGGGAGGGAGACTAGCTAGCTACGAGCCGATTCACTGGGGCTCAATCTCCGAGCCCCGCGCCGAGCTCCCAGGCTTCGGTTCCCGTTCTTACATATCAGATAAGTGAAGTGAGCCACCGCTCTTCGTTGGGCGCTTGGTTTAGGGGTATAACGTTCGCTTCGCATGCGAAAGGTCCTGGGTTCAATTCCCAGAGCGTCCATTTTTTGCGTTTTAACCGTGACGATCAAGTCACTTCCAGTGACCTTTTTTACACCCAACTCACGACTTTATATATGAGCTCGACGCGCTCGGCTTTACTGGCCTTGTTATCGGGCGCAGTGCTAGGCGGAACACTATACTCCGTGTTGAACCATACTTACCTCGACACGTCCGATCCCCTACTTTCTCACCTGCCTCACCCACTGCACCACCAATCTATATTTGCCCAAAGGACTAATATCTTTAACTCTTTGTTTGTCAAGAAGGCTTGGGGTTGGACATCTGCAGCATTTGCTACAGTGTGGCTCACAAGCCCTCCACAAACGCGCAGCCGTCAGCCGTGGTCACGATGGGCCGCTGCGACAGCTGTTTGGGGAGCGTTTGCAGCATGGTTTTTCGGCCCAAGCCTACTTGAGCGTTTGGCTGTCGCTTCAGGCGGCAGTTGTGTCCTTCACCTTCCTTCAGATATATCTGACAACCCTCCCGTCGTGCATCCCGTACCGCTTGAGTATTGCTCCGCCAAAACGATCGTATCTCCCAGCACGCACCCAGCTCTGTTTCCGGCGACTCTCTTGGCCTCACTGGATTCGGCTTGGATGGCCCGGCCGAGGCTATATAACGGACACGACGTCTCCGGGCACATTTTCCTCCTCACACTCTCTGCCCTCTTCCTGCACAGTCAGCTCGAGCCGGCGTGGAAACTCATTTCGTCTCCGAGGCCCACTTCCGTTCCGTTCAAATTCGCAGTGGTGGCTGCGACAGCTCTTTTCGGAATCTGGCTGTTGATGACGCTTGCGACGAGTATCTATTGGCATACTCCGTTTGAGAAGCTCACGGGCTTTGGTATGTGCCGCTCCGCTTAGCACGCATGGAATCATGTTTTTACTTTGCTTCAAAGCGTTGGGTCTCGGAGGCTTTGCCCTTGTTCAATTTCCCTTCAGTTCGTCGACTCTGCGAGTTGCTCGAGCCTCTTTGAGCACTAGAGTGGACTAGACTACATGTTGCTACTAATTGGTGGGTAACCGCCATGATATCTCTCGTATCCTCACAGGACCGCACGGAATATACTGGTGGATACCGAGTCCTTCTTCATATTCTGCATACATGAGGCCAACCATAGCACTGTCAGAAGAACTACAACTTGAGATGAGGAAGCCAGGTTCATGTAATAGGTTCATGCCTTCCACGGTAGTGAAACTCGGACTGAAGAACCGTAGTAGGTTCAAAATATTGCAGTGAGGTACTTCACGAGAACAGTCACCATAGCTGCACAACACTCACACCCACTTGGTCGTTTTCGCGTCGTTCAATATTGCATCCAATTTACCGCCTCTTTCGATATCGTGTGCTAGCCTAGAGGTGTTTTCTCTTGATCTTTTTGTGTGATGGAGTTGAGGTAGCCGTCAAATATACCGGCTAACATATGGCTCACGCTGGCTCAAAGTACTGGAATCAGTGCACTGTTAATAATCCAGAACCATGTGTGTCAATACACCCAACACTAGATTTAAACAAAAGAATGTGGGTAGAAAGCCTGACCCACCGCATCTGTGTCCAATACATACAGAACAGTGGTCTATCCCCCTATCTAACTGGTCGTATTCGGGCTCCGTGACCTGGGTATACCGCTCCCGCTTCTTGCCTCCGGCTGCCGTGGAATCGCCTGCAATGGTATCTGTCTCTCCCCTCTCTCCCAATCCTTCTGGGGCATGGCACCACTTGGTGTAGGTGGTAAAACGAAACCTTGCCCTATTGGGCTCCAACCATCCTCCACGCGCTCATCGGCACGGATCAAACTCGCGATGCTTGCTGTGTGGTTATGGCTGCGCCGTGGCGGCCCAGGCTGCGGAACGAACGCCGTGGCTGAGCTGGGCGCGGTGGGCGAACGATATGCAATATCCTGCTCCTCTTCATCTTGAGAGTCGAGAGAGGACGTCGTTGAAAATGTGGATACACGTCGATTCGCAGCTGGCGCCTCGAGGTCATACAGCTCATGCTTGTTCCGTGTGACTGTATTCGGGCCAGTCGCGAGTTCTGTTGGAAGGAAGAGGTAGAAGCAGGCGGTAGCGAGACAGGCACCTCCGACGACGTCAATCAAGTAGTGATGTGTGAGATACATAGTTGCCCAGTATAGGATACCTGTATATGCGCAAGCGTATGGTGTTAGGGCTGGGAAGAAATGGGAGACTACAAGAGCCGCGAGGGTGCCGCACCCGGCATGAAGCGATGGGAAGGCCCCAAATACAACAGGAGCATTGGAAAATGTGGTGGTGTAGCCCTTGGAATGGAAGAGGGCGTCGATGCGTGCAAGACCTCCCGGAGAGCCCGGCATCGAGTAGTTGGCAGGGGTTAGTCCATAAATTAATTCATACCACGGGGCAGAACAAGGGAAGAGGATTTGACACCAAACACCTGCAAGGTTCATGTAGCCAAAGACACTGGCCCAAAACTTCAGTGCTGGCTTTGGGGCAAAAAGCCAGAGTGCAGCTGCGACGACAAATGGGCCGACAAAGTGGATGACACCATATGGAAGCCATGCAATAATGTCGAGAACTGGATGCGTGAAACGAGTGAGAATGTCTGATATGTTGGCACCGTAAAGGACCGACTCCAGAGTGGGGAGGAGAGACACGGAAATAGTCGGGCGATAGGCGGCAGGAATGAAACGAGAGGTGTAAAATGTTAAGACCCATGAAAAAATAGGAATAGCAGGCAAGAAGAATTGGGATGTAAGAGGAATGAGAAGGGCAAGGCCATATAATATTGGGATGAAGAGTTTTATGGGGAAGGGAGGCTCTCGCATTATGACAAGCCAAAATGTGGCTTGAATGATGTGGAGGACATATACGCCGTCGGACAGGGTAAACGTGTGAGCTCGAAACCGTGACAGTGTGAGACTAGGCGACAATGACGTTTCTAGATCTGCTATGGCGGTGAAGAGTGTGGAGACGAGAACGCTAAGTGTCCTGCTTGTTGACTGGACACGTATTCGAGACATCTGTGCAACAGATCAATGACTAGTACAAGGGTGTATAAAGGCTTGCTCACGGCTCGATAGAGTGACGGGGTAGTATAGATTATAGTAGGGCAGTGCGGCCCCGCCTCAAGTTCACACGGGGGAGCGAAATTTCGTTTACCAAGCTCAAACGCTCACGTGATGCAAGTCCACCCTGCATGCGCGCTAGCTGTTGCTCATGAGTCACTCGGTAAACGAAGTCGGCGGGACATTACAATAACACTTTCTCAAGTCCCGTTGAGAATACTCAGCTGTTCGTGCACATGATGAAAAATTTGCCATCAGTAAATTCGCAATGATTTTGTGTGCACATGATGATTAGTAGTATGGTCTGTTCGTAAAGTCCATGACGAGAGTTTCGTCAGTTCTGGTCCATATTCCAATATCTAGTTACAGGAAAATGAAAGAAGCACTTGCGGCGCATATTCGCACCGCACGGAGACTAAACCGACAGCTTTGCACATTAACCACCACGTGAATTAAAAAAAAAACGAAAACAAAAAAAAAAACGATTAGAGCTCCTACACGTGCGAGGCATCAGTTATGTCCGTGATGACGCAAATGCAACTTACGATGTTGTTCAAATTACCGGAAAGCAACCCTGTCATACGTGTTTAGTCATCAGCTTAGATACGATTAAGGGAGTTAGCTTACTGTTCTCCAAGACACAACCATCTGGAATATCGATTCTTTGTCCCTCGTTCGCTACAACTAGAGACAACGCACTTTAATAACAACCCAACTATCTTTTTCTAGAACGCACTTATGACCGTCCCTCGTAGAGTAATGTTCCTGCCGAAGTAGACATCACCCGTCACAGTCAAGTGATCCAGCTCGATAATCGTTGGGATTCTCTTGAACCTCTTTTGGAACTGTGCAATCTGGATTGGAGATGATCAACCGAGGTCAACCCATCATGAAGCTCCCGCAAGCAGACATGACACAAACCTTCTTGAAGTGATCACCCAACTTGATGACAGGGGTGGTCTGGAAGAGCCGGTTCTCGTTGATGACCAATTGGCCATGCGACAGAGAGTAGATGTCGCTTTTAATCAGAAGCAAGTCAGAGCAGCTCTTCACGGGCAAGAACCTGCTCCGCGGGACGTTAATCCCGTGAGCGTGCTTGAAATGTTTGATGGCGGCGCCAGCTGCCGTTTCCAGCTGAAAAAGATCAGCTGTGACCATATCATGGTGAGGGGACAGTAGACAAACCTGAATAACAGCTTGGCCATCATCAGTGGTCTTTGGGTTTATGATGATGTCAAGATCCATGCCCTCGTTCTCCATGACACGCTTCAAAGCTAGAATGAAGCATGAGAGCTTGAAAGTATGTGAAATCAAGCGTAACATACCTTTAAGGTTAATCCACAAGTTGTTGGTGTTGAAAATTTTGAACTTGCGGACTGTAGTCGATCAGACCATCATGTAACATGTTGAAGAACGCTACTCACTAGCTTTGAAATCCTCTACATGTTCCGACGGAACCTGTGCGATTTCAAGAAGCCGGATTTGACCTTCATAGTCAATAAGAGTTCCACCCTTCACGTCAGCCTTGGTCTTGTCAGTGACCTCCATCAAAAACTCGGCCTGGCTGTCGACCATGTGCTGGAGGATTCGCTGATCGACGCTACACACATATTAGACTAATAACCTTTGCAAGAAAGCAAAAACTTGTACACGGCACCCAAGTTGTCGGAGTTGGAGACAAAGAGGTACTCTTTCCCGTCCGCCAGGAGCTGGTCAAGAACCCCAGACTGTGTGAGGGCATTGAACAGGTCACCGTGGCCTGGAGGGTACCTGCATGCGCAACCCGAATGAGGGGTAAACCATGTGGCGCATTTTAAATGACCAACCAGTGCTTCTTGTCATCGCCGGCAGATTGGGGGCAGGGAAGGAGACTCTCCTTGAAGATACGGGGGTAGCGGCTTTGATTAAAGGTGACAATCCGCAACTGCTGGTTAGCATACTTCTTGATTATGCGAAGG